ACCAATGTGAAGCAGTTAAAAATAACCTTTCATTGTTGAGTAGGTATATGCTTCCCCCATCTAAGCAATTATGAATTAGCAAAACACTTCTACCTAAGACTGAGTCCAAGTGTATAAAAGGTAATTTTAGAAGAATTGAAATCTATAGTAACTGAAAGCATGAATATAATTGCCTCAGGGTTCTGACTGTAATTATTTTGTTACCAATGACTAATAGATTATTTTAAAGCTTTCATTACTGAGAATTATTTTGCAGCAATCAAGTTATGAAAATAGCCATTCTAGCCAGACAGAACTATGCTACAAAAATAATAAACTTTCAGTGCCACAAGGTTTTATTTTATAGAAATGATATTATAGTGTTAACTGATAAAAATTATTTTAAGGCGTTCATGTAGTAATAGATAAATTAGGTCAAACAGGAATGAGAATGAGACTTGAAAATGTTTCATTAATTAAAAAAGAAAAAAAAAGCATATAAGCAATGGAAAAACAGTTCAGCATCCAGAGAGGAGTACAATCATATGGCCAGGGTCTGCAGGTATGAGACGCAAAAAGGCAAGGCAGACATGGAGATCAAGCTGGCAACTAAAATAAAGGACAACAAAAAGTCTTTCTATAGATAAATAGGGAGGAAGACAAAAATCAAGCTCCACTGTGGGACCCCTACTGAACATGGGGGGTGGGGGGGGAGGGTGCAGCCCACAGTTGATCCCCATGGAAAGGCAGAGAGCTCCTAAATACTTACTTCACATTGGTATTCTTGAAATCATATGGGAGCTGTTCACCTGTCCAGAGGCCCAGGGAATATGGGGAAGACAACAGTCCACATGAAATTAGTCCTGAACAGGTAAGGGTACTCTTGGAACATTTGGATGTGCTCAAGTCTGCTGGGCCAGATGACCTGCATCCAAGAGTCCTGAAAGAACTGGCTGAGCTCATAGCAGGGCATCTGGCGAAGCTGTTCAAAAAGAGTCGTGAAACTTGGGAATGGTCCCGAACGACTGGAAGAGGGCTAACGTGGTACCCATCTTTCAGAAAGAGAAGAAGGATGACCCTGAAAACTGTAGACTGGTCAGTCTAACCTCGGTCCTGGGAAAAATCTTTGAAAAAACTGTCAAGGAGGCCATCAACCACAAGCTTGTAACTGATGGGGTATTAAAAAACAACCAGCATGGCTTTGTTGAGGGTAGGCCCTTTCATGACCAGTTAACTAACCAGCTGGAAAAAGGAAAATGAGGTTGACTTCATTTACCTAGACTTCAGCTGAATGCAATCAGATGAGGTTCAATAGGGACAAGTGGCGGGTCCTTTATCTGAGTAGGAATAACCTTCACCATAATTATATGATGGGTGGTGGTCCACTGGGTGGCACTGAATTTGAAAGGGACCTGGGGGTGACAATCAACCAGAAGATTAATATTAGCCAGCAGTGTGATAAAGTTGCCAGCAGGGCAAAAAGGACTCTGGTGTACATCAGCCAATGTGCTGTGAACAGATCCTGAGAGGTGCTCCTCCCCCTCTATTTGAGATTGGTGAGGCCATAGCTGGAGTACTGTGTCCAATTCTTGGCACCACAGTTCAGGAAGGATGTGGATAAGCTCAAAAGTGTACAAAGAAGTGCTACCCATATGATTAGGGGCCTGGAAGATAGGCCCCATCAGGAGAGACTCCAGGAACTGGGTTCGTTCAGTCTGAGAGGTGACTTGATAGCTGCCTACAAGTATGTCAAGGGTGAACACCAAGATCTAGAGGAGCAACTCTTCAGAAAGGCACCCCCTGGGAGGATGAGGGCCAATGGGCACAAGCTAATTGAGGAAAAATCAAGGTTGGACATAAGGAGAAACTTATTATTTGTAAGGGTATCTAGAATCTGGAACAGACTGCCAGCAGAGGTGTTGCAGTCACCATCCTTGGAGGTGTTCAAGAGAAGACTGGACAAGCACCTCATTGAGCTCGTTTGAGTGCAATAACCTCTTGCCCTGGGCAGAAGACTGGATTTGATGATCTTACAGGTCCCTTCTGGTCCTTTGATTTTATGATTCTATGAAAACACACAGTCCTATACACTTTATAAATTTCATCTGAACATAGAAGCAAAAAGAGAAACACCCAACTACCATAAAAAGAAGCAGCTTTTCTAGCACACTGTCCAGGCAAGACAAAAATCAGGAAGCACTGTAAATCTTTTCCAGTTCTCATGTAATTTTCTTACAAGAGTTTTAAACTGATTTTCAGATAACAAATTCAAAGGAAGTGAAGAAAGCTTTAATTCAGCATATAAATTTAACCAGCAATGCTTGAACTTGTAACTTGGTGATTTGTAAATTATAATGTAAGTTATAATGTAAGTAGTTTTACCTACTTAGGTTGATGTCTAAATATATTTTCTTGTAGTTGAAAAGTGACACCATCAAAGTGTATCCAGTATAATATTAACTTTACTAAAACAGAGAGAAAATGTTATTTAAAATAGGGAAGTCATTACTATTTACCTTCTGGACACCGACAGTTGAATCCACTGGCATTAGAAAAGCAGGTACCCCCATTTCTGCATGGCTGTGGGCTGCAGTGATCAATCTCTGACTGACATAGCTCTCCAGTATAACCTACACCGTAAGGCAAATATTTTAAAAAATAAAGAGAAATTAAGTTTCTATTATTAAATATACCATTATATTATTCACATAGCAAAGTTATTTTCCTTGAATAAAGCTAGAGATAAGTATTGGAATCCATGATATTCTACCGAATATTCAATCTCTCATTAAAAAAATCAGTTAACAGGAACCAACAATGTAAGGCAAAAATCCAAACAAAATGATACCATCGAGTTGTATTTTACCAGCAGCAGTATTCTGACCGCACCAGCACATATGGGCTTAAGGCTTGAGATTTTCACAGACACCTGTGCAACCACAAAGCACTTGAAATGAATTTCGAATTTATTTTGAATCTGAACACAAAATCCTCTAGGGAAGCTTTAAACAAGACTAGTCTTCCTAAATTTTTTGTGCATATGCTGAATGACTGTCATTTGTTCCTGCTCCTGAGCCTCAGAAAGGATTGTCTGTTTTGAGTGAGAGCTGCAGGGAACTGATCAGCACAGTTGCAAACTGCCAAACAAGCTTCTCAAAGCTCTCACACCACAGACTGGAAACAGTACAATGCTGTTTGCTATCCATAAGCTAGCTTTTCTGCAGATGCCTGAAGTTAACATGTTAGGATCAGAACAATGAACAAACCTACAAAGAACAATCCATTTCATTGCTGTTAAAAAAGCTGCAAACTTAATCCTGTAATGAATACCAAACATTTCTTGTTCTAAATTCAAAATTCATTTCATTCATTTATTTCTAGTAGTTATCTGGGGATTTGTGTGTAACAACATATTACTATGTTATATATCTTGTTTTTACCAGATACAATTTCTGTGGAACATTTAAAAACCATCTGTAATAAGCAACATATGGTACCATACACTACCTTTGGTCCAAGCAGATTGCTCTCAATCATATCAAATGGCATTTGGAATGCTAATCAAGAGCATTACATGACCTTCAGAGTACTTTACCAGAGACAACAGAAAGGAAGTACAGTCTACTGTCTAGGGCACTAGACTGGGGATCAGGAGATCTGGGTTGTACTTTTCTTTTACCAACAAACAGGTGTTTAGCATTGAGCACGTAACTTATTCTGTTATGTGTGCCAGCTTTTCATTCTGTAAAAAAGTCTGCCTGACAGATTAAATTATTGGAAAGGTTCAGATGAAAAAATGCTAAGTGTTAAGTATAAGAATATAAAATTAGTTAAAAAATACACAATATTTAAAGCTCTAAGGTACCAACTAGTAATGATGGAACAGTAGACCTATCCACAAACTCTCAGAGAAGTGGATATGGACTCAGATTTGTATTTCAGTTTCAACTTAAGTTCTTCTTTGTTAGAACAAACAAAAATAATACATCTGACAAGTCTGCAGCACTCCAGATTCAGCTCTGGATTAGAACACAGCGAAGCAGCATGAGAAAACTGTAATTGTCACTGGTTGTTACTGTACCTGTTCTGGGGATAACAACTGAATTCCTGTAAAGGCAATGAGTGTTAAATTAACCTAACATTTACAAAACTGCAGCACACTGAACCACACAAAAACTACTGTCCCCTAATTTGTTTCAAGTTCTTTCTCTTTCCTACATTTTATTAATTAATTTTTGAAGGATAGTGCAATATTGAATACAGTATGGTAAGTAATGTATGTTCAATTAATTTTCAACTATTCCTGTCTTCAAATTTTTTACTAAGATTGTCAAAACTAAAGATGATACTGGAATTCAATGTCTGGTTGTAAAGACTGTCAAATTAAGTGACATGTACTTGATTGGCTCTGCAGCTAGCTAAAATAACTGGCTATGTTGTCATTGTAGTTTGGAGTACATCATATCATAGAGAGATGACATTTAATCACCAGATTTCCAAAAACAAATATGATCCATCTAATTGTTATCTATATTACATGCATACTTCAAATTGAAAGAATATTCTTTTGGTATCTAAAAGCAAATAATGAGTGCTGTAAATTAACAGGTTTTTCTAAACGAGTCACACAACAAAACAGCAGTTTGTCAGAAACATTATCAAAATCTTTGTGCCTGCTCACTTTGTGCTGTTACAAATATTTGGACTTTTTCCTTGTAGCAGTGCTGGGGTGATATGATACTGTCCAGATATTGCTGGTTCTGAAAGCTTTCAAGTACAAGAGTTTTCAGACCATGTTTTTATTTTCTATTTTCTTTAATGACTTGGCATATTCAACTAAGTGAATCTCAAAAAGAAATAAAATGGCAACTTCCAGTTTCTATAGCTCCTCTCTTGATGTACCAACAGGTACTGTAATAGAATATCAAGTGAAGCAGCTCAGACTAGTAATGACTAAGTCATCCCAGTAACTACTAGAATATTTGGTTGCAGAGAACAAAAACAAGAAACTATTTACACAACCCCTCTCCGCCGCAAAAAAGTCAAACCTGAATACAGTTATTACACTGAGGTGAAGCAACCAAGTACATTGTAGTAACATGTCTTCAGTGAACAAAGAAAATTAAAGTCATGTTCTCAAAGATATGAAAGGAAATGGCCCCAAATTGCTTTTCTACAGTAGTGATGTCTGCAAGTATAGGAACCAAATGTTTCCACTACATTTAGAGCATGCCTTGCGTCCTGCCATGATTCAGCAAGGTAAAAAGTTTTGGGGTTTTTTTTGCAGAAACAACCATTTATAATTGTGACAAGAAGCAATTTTTTCAGTAGGAGCTGACCCATTTTCCAGTGACAACCAGAAGAGTATTGTCATTGTAGAACTGAACTGAAAATGGAAAGGTTGAGAGAGGCAGGGTTATTTTATAAAAATCCAAACAACAAAATATATAATCAAATGATATATAATATTCCACAATGTCACAGTGGTAATATTGGCAAGGAAGACATTTGAATCCTAATGATAACTGTAGCGTTCACAAAAAATCAAATACAACTAGTATATAAAAAGTGGTAGGGATTATATGGGGGAAAGAGGTCCACTAAATGAAGAGACTGATATTATTCCCTTTATGAAATGTTAGGCCAATGTCCTGGGGAACAAAATACCTTTTCAGTATAAATAATGATAAAAAAGAACATACATCTTTCTCAAATACAATCATACATTAAAGGCTATCATGTCCCTTCCTCAAACCCTCATAATTTTGTTTTAAATCTACAAATAAGCAGTCCAAAAGTTTCAGCTATCATCATTTTAAAAATCTGTGTCTATCCTGTTCTCCACTTTTTAACAGATTACTCACTTCACATTTTTATATACAAAATAACAATGCATAGAAAGGGTTGATAAGAATCAACTTAAAATCAAAACCAACCCTTTTTTTTTTTGGGGGGGGGGGGGAACCTAAATTTTTTCTATCAAATTAATTCTTAAAAGGCTACATCTAGTATGACCTTACCAGTAGGGATTGTTCAAGTCACTCAGTTTTAAGTTCCATTTCAGTTCAACCTTTTTCTTCTTAAATGTACTTCACAGTTAACAGAATTGAAATAATTACTTAACTAGGTTTACATATCTTGTTCAAGAAACAGTTGGGTCCATTTGCATATTTATGGAATATAACGGATGAGAATTTTTGTGCACAATGAAGTCATATTTTATTTCGAACACACCTAAAATATAAATCCAAGTCTTCTACAAAGAAACCTAAAAACAAACCAGGTTTTGTCTGCACATACGAAATAGTTAAAGTAAGTGAAAGGAGAAGAATGGAAAGCCTAGAGGCATGAATAGCAGCATAAATAGAAAGATTTATAAAATGATTGGTGCAGAACCTCAACTGTAGCTAAAGACTACACAGAGCACCTCAGGGGAAGAAGGTGTAGGAATCCAAGAAAGAAACCTGAATCCGCATTCTCTCAGTTTTGAGTCAGTTCTGTTCTGGTCTTGTACCCAGTCATAAGTTAGAGTTACTAGAAGATTCCTCTAAGCTTGAATTAGCTACCAGAAGACCAAAGGAATGAATATAAGAATTGGAGACCTATGGAATATAGGGAAACCCAGGTCATCTCTACTCTGGCTGGAATTCAGAGGGTAAAATAGGTGTTGTTAGATCTTTATTATACCACTGACTGATCTTTTACACTGAGGCAATCTTTCAACAGCCAACATGACTGGCTTTAAGGCTACTTTGAGAGATACTGAACTATTTATTATTCTTTTCAATTTTCTTTGTACAGTTTCTATGCTCTTCAAATCTTTACCTTTTTATGGATAGTTTTGGGAACCTAATTTGAATGAATCTATTTTCATTCTAGCCAATATTAGCAGTTCTAAAAATAATATATCAATACCCAATGATTTTCACATTAAAGTGGTCTACCTAAGTGCACTCAGAGCCTTTGAAATGCAAGATACTGACAGCATTAAATTTTCTATCATACAATTCTGTAAGAAGAATTTTCCATCAGCACATAACGGTAATTATATCAAGTTACCCTCTGGCATTCAAGTATGACCATTGAATTTAGTTTAATTTTCATTCTAATTAAGATGCCTATATGAATTTGATCAAATCTTAAAAACAAATGCTCATAACACAATTTCAAAGAATTTAACACATACATTTCATCATTAACTAAACCAGCACATTACTCAATTAAGCTTTCACATTTATACAATTTTTTCAAAATTCGATTTAAAATTAATTTTATGAACAATCCAACAGCTTCATGGTTTGTAAAGAAACATCTATTATTTGACCTGTGTGAAAGAAAAATGGGTTACAATTTACAATGAAAGCACCCTAGTGAAACATTTGTTACTCATAAGGGCGTGTCTACATGAGATGTTAACTGCACAGTAACCTAATAATACTGCACAGTAGTGCATCACAGCACAAACACTGCTAATAGGCTACTGCACAGTAATGTCACTAAAAAGGCATTTGGCGGTGCTACTGCGCAATGTCTGGTTACTGTGCATTTATTTAGTATTTGATTACACAAATATTAAATTAAATGCGCAGTAACCTCTGTGCATTAATGAACCCATAGACATGTCCGGAAGGAAACAATGGCAATTCTATCTAAAAAAACCTCAGGCAGCAAAATATGGTTCCTGATTTTGTAAACTCCTGATGTAAGTACAATTTTTACAATGATGACTGTTCCCACTGATTGCAGCTATGCTAAGTTTAGGGCTGTTTGCACACAGGCAGCTAGGCTTTCATTGGGATGACTCTGGGCATGGGTACATGTTCGTGTTACCAAGAGGCAAACAAAAGCAGGGATTTACAATGTTTCAACCATTCCGCAGTAACTTCTCACATGCATACTATCCCATGCACAGTGATAAGTAGGTGGCTATCATGGGCCAGCTTTAATTTACAAAGTGTAAAAGCATGTGTTTTCTTACTCCTAAGCAGCTGATGCAGTGTAAATCGCTATCCTCTGCCTCCTGGTAATTTGTTTGCATGCTCATATACCCCAACAACCATTACATCTACATCTAGTGATTTCTGAAAAACTGGGACTTGTGATCCCACACACATTTTCTCTTTCTTTCCGTACATTTAAAGACATACAAAACACTGCTTTGCAAAAAGGTTTACATAGGATGTTACAACAAAAAAAGCAATGTTCAAAATGTAATGTAAAACATACCAGTAGGACAAGTGCAGGTGAAATTTTTCCAATCATGTTTTTGTGTTATATCAGTGCAAGTACCATTGTTCTGGCAAGGCCCACTTTGACATGCATTAAATTCTTCGCAGAAAGCACCCAGGTATTGATCTTCACAGTCACAGAAAAAAGTTGCCTAAAATCAAACACAATACATGCATTATTATGAGGCTTCAAAATTTTTATTTTCTAGTTGTATATTTTGTTAAGTTGTCTTCAGTGGTTCTGAGTTAGCTAACAAAAAACAGAAAAACACAGTGAAACATTATCCCTTATAGTGTTAATCCTGGACCATTTCCACAGGCAAAACTCTACATTAATTACCCCAAAGTAGAGAGGTTATATTCAACCCCCCAGTAAACTTGTGCCAAACTAACATGCAACATTATTTGCAGTAATTTTTTCTTGTGTTATTTATTAATGAATATGCTAAGACATTCTATTAAATAAATAATAAGCAGTTCTACTGAAGAGAACACAATGGGAATTGCACCTATGCATATGAAGGACAGGCAGGGGTTCCATATTCCAGTTCCAACAACACATAAAACCTAGCACTCTCCCTAGGGAAAGTCTCTTAGTCAATTCTCCAAAATTACAAGGCATAATTCTGAAAGATTTCTGCTTACAAAGATGTTTATTATATATTGCATATTAATTGCTAAAAAAGACCAAGAAATATATAATTTTAAAAGACTTGATTCGGTTGGAACAATTTTTCTTAGCAAGCTTTTGGGTTTAAAAACCCTTCATCAGGCTGAGGAAGCATCTGCATTTGGTTTGCGCTCTTCCTGCATCCAGGAAATAAATATGAAAAAATAGGAAATAAAATACTGAGCCCAGGAAGAGCACACGCAAACTGCAGATACTTCCTCAGCCTGACAAAGGGTTTTTAAACCCAAAAGCTTGCTAAGAAAAATTGTTCCAACTATTTAAGTTGGTCTAATAAAAGATATCAGATTCACCCAAAGAACCTTGGCTGTTGCATACATAAATAATTTGGTACAGACTATAATATTTGTTTAGAGTTAGGCTCATTATTTTATTTCCTATTTTTATGTGTAACTTAGTTATATGAAGTCAGCTAGATCTTAAAACAGAAAAATGTATTAATAAACATCAAGCAATGTAAAAGTCTACATTCAACATAAAACAACATTTAGATTTTCACAGATCTGATTTTGCGCACACATAAAGGTTGCATAACACCAAAACTTAACATGTTGGCTAGGGACAGTCATTCAAAAAGCCCAAGCCTGAATTGATTCAATCTTTGAAGGTTAAGTCTAACCTGCAGAGCTTGAACTGATTCGTAAGAGGATAGATATTCACTTTAGATTCAGGAAATGCAGGCACATGTCTGCAGTGGCTCAGGCTAGAAGCTGAGGGGTGCTAGAGCAAGCCCTCCCTTCCCTGCTACAGTGCAGAGCTGAAGAGGGCCACGGCCAGGCCCTGCAGGACACTATGATTAGGGAGGGGTTTAAACCCCCACCCTGGCCTTCACAGTCCCCAGCCAGGCTGTGTGCCTGGAGTGGAAAGGAGAAGCAGCCCTCGCCAGGCTTTTCCCAGCTCACTGCTCTAAACCTGCCCCAACCCCCACCCCGGCCCCCTAGCTAGCACTGAGGCAAAAGGGAGGTGGGGGCAGGGAGGACTGCTTGTGTAGAGTGCATGCATCTGTTGATGATACTGAGTTTTTCAATCTCCCTCTCCCTGCTTCTTCATACTGTGCAGCAAACTGATGGTACTCACAGACCCATGCATGGCAAACCAAGTAATTTCTCACACCTTTTTCTGTCTCCTCTTGAATACTGACAGATTGCAGCCTTTGAAGCAAGCAAGCCAGCAGGCAGCTTATCAGCCCATTAAGAAAACAAAGCCCCTCTCATTAGTTCAAACCCTTCTTAAGCAGCTTTTTCCAAGGAAGGAATGGAGGGACATTACCAGTTGACCTGTTGATTAGTTTTAAAAAGCCCTAAGCAGACACTGTCTTGTCTACCTTTGTTCCAGTGAAATTGGAGACACAAACACACAGACACCTCTCAGCATTAGCTGGCATGGGGGTGGTATGGCCAGATGCCTGCTAGGGTCGGTGCCACTGGGGTCCCTGCTGCAGGAGAGCAGGGATCCCTGTTTGAGCAGAGAAAAAGGGGAGGGTGAGGCAGGGGGACGCCAGGCAGATGCTGCTGCTCTCTCAGCTGCAGTCCCCTCCCACTTCTCAGCCAACCAGAGCTCTGGCTAGGGACAGGGTGGGGCCAGCCCTGCTCTCTGAAACAGATGGTTCAGCCCAGCCCAGTCAAGCCCAGGGCTGAAAAGCATGCTGGGATGCTGGGGGACTGTGATTTAACTTAAACCAGGAAGGGGTCTGGGACTGAATTTCCATAAACTGGTTTGACTCAGATCAGTTAAGTTTGATACTACATTTGGCCAGGTTTGTCTTAAGGCAGTTTTGGCCATTTTGAAGCTGGTTTATGTACACAAATTTATGTCCTGTTACAGGTTTAAACCAGTTTCTGACCACTTAAACTGGTTTCTGTGTAACTTCTGTCCCTAGCCATTATGTTTTACTGGAACTCCCAAAAGCCTATGCTAAGTTGGTGGTCTGCATATATTTTTATGCCTTGCAAATTTTGTACATCACCAAAACTGGATATCCTCAATATTAGTGATGGCACATGTTGTCCGTAGTTTGAAGGAAAGCAGAAAAAATTAAACACACAACTGTTTTTACTATAATAGAACACAGTAATTTACTTTTTAAGTAAATCATATAAGCCTATATAGATATGTAGTAAACAGAAATTTAGAAAGATATATTTTTTGGTTAAAAAAAATTGCTATTAGTAAAGTTTTCAGAAATGTTTCCCACAAGGTCCCTGTAGCTTTGCAGAAAAAACACATCAACTCCAAGCTCAGTTCTGTTCAAAACTCATAAAGATGTCCATCAGTTTTGCCAAAGCTGTTTTGCTGTCAGTACCACATATCGTCTGAATTGCATACAGTTCCATTATGCAAGCAAAGGATGGAAGCTAAGAGGAAGAGAGCACATAAATGTTACAAATAGCATCCTTTGGTTATTTTGAGTCATTCAGGCACCAGCTGACTGTTCTGCTTCTATTTCTATTTTGTGTTAGGGCTCTGGCCATGGGGAGGATGGTGGGGGGGTGGCGGGGAATGCACTGGTGCACTTGTACCCCCACCCCTTTGGTTTCTGCTCCAGGCAAGGTTTAAAAAAACAACTGCCTACCAGTAGCATTTCAAGTCAAGCAGTTCTGAGGGAGTCAATTGACTTCATGGTTTATTATAATCTGCCTGATGCCTTCTAAACTCTACATGCCACAGGTGTTAATGACCCTCTCCTTTTTCATGGTCTTGATGTTCCATCAATCTAGCTATCCTTTGTTTCTGCAGTTCTCTTGTCTGTTAGCTGCTCCTGATAATAAAGCTCCTACTTCACAGCCCTACAGATTATTTTTAATTCATTTTGATGAAATTCTATTTGTTTTTGCTTCAATTTTACACTGAATATTACAGACCTAGGCCCCTGGCTTAATGGCAAAGCTTCTAGTTTATTTTTAACTGGAGGAAAATGTGTGTTGATTCATCTGTGAGAATGCACCACACCAAATGCTCCTATGCTTTTCAAAATTCTAGATCCACCTATGGCTCTGACAGAGGTTACATGTCATGCTTTACATGTGAATTTAGGGGGACAAAAAGTAAATAGCCACATATTGTCTCACTGTCCCCCTAAAAACAACTGGTCAGGCACAAAAATACTGAATTCAGGACAAAAAAATTGCTGTTTCAAACAGCAACTTCTTTCTGGTAGGAAGGTCGTCTGCAATTAATTTAACATGCATACAGGTCTGAAAATCCCTCAATATCCCTCAGGACTCTGCTCTACCTCTTCCCCCTCCAAGGCGAGGAAGGGACGGAGAGCAGCTGGCTCTCTGATAACCTACCTAGCTGGTGATGTATCAGGGAACGCTGCAAGAACTGTGGTCTGGGCAGCCACATCCCTCTGGCCAATGGGTGGCAAAAGAGTGGTCTATAGTGGAAGCAGGTGTTGATCAAGAAGTGCAAACCCCATGTCAGCCCATGCTGTCACTGGGGGCTCACAAGCAGCCCTGAGCCCCCTTGTCCATTACAGTACTACTGGGCAGCAAGGGTAACGGGATTGCCTGCAAGCCAAGAACCCGAAAGAGCTGCTGATCCTCAAGCAGCCTACTACAGCCAGTAACATTAATCCATAACGGTGCCATTGCTTAAGCTGTTTCCACTGCTCCAATAAGGAATAATGGGTAGGGCTGTGTGGAGCACTGAGTGGTAATTTGATTCGGAGGAGATCTGGCCTGATTCGGTGGCCGAATCTCCAAACCCAAATCGAATCAGGGGACCAATTAAAAGGTCTGAATTGATTCAAAGTTGTCCGAATCTTTGGAAAAGATTTGGAAAAGATTCAGAGGGCTTTGACAATTTAGACAGTCCCCAGTGGCTGCAGCAGACAGCTGCAGCTGGACTCAGACCTGGTAGATAGGGGCAGGGGAGGGAGGGGACCTTGGGGGAGCAGCCAGGGGGGGCAATCCCTGCTGCCCCCCACTGCCCCATACTGCGTGGGGGGCTCTGCCACAAGCCCCCTGACCCCCCCTTGCTCATCTAGCACCCACATGGCTGCCCCACCCTCCCCAGCTCCAGCCCTTTAAGAGAAAACAAAAAACAAAAAACAAGAAAAACCCTGGGATTCACCACTCCTGCAGCAGCCTTGGGGCTTCTGGGGGCTCATATAGAGCCCCCCACATGGCATGGGGCAGCGAGAATCACCCCCCGCCTGCAGGAACAGCAAGTCTGGAGGTTTTCCTCATCTTTTTTTTTTCCTAAAGGGCCTGAGCAGGGGCAGGTGGGGCAGCCATGGAGGGGCTGGCACAGCATGGAGGGGGTCAGGGGACTCATTCAGAGCCCCCCATGAAGCATGGGGCAGTGGGGGGGCAGCGGGGATTGCCCCCCACCTGGCAGCACCCAGCGAGTTGGGGCTTTTTTTCCCCCAAGTGCCGGGAGTTGGAGTGGGTGGGGCAGCCATTGCCAGGCTGGGAGAGTGGGCAGGGGATGGGCCTGCCTGATTTGGAGCAGCAGCCGAAT